AACAGGTTTTAATTAATAGGTAGAACTGAGGACCTTCCAGTAAGATGCTCACCTACCCAGAATTTCCACAAGAAGAAAGAAGATTCAAGGATCTCTTAAATTTGCAGTCACTTAACTGCATTTAAATGTAGCTGTTAGCATTTAATGCTTTTGAAAAGGCTCCAAATCTTACTTTTATTCAATACCTTGAAAGAGACACAGTGTTGTTTGTTTAAAAAAATAAGTTTATATTATTAGCTCAGTCACAGAATGTTTTTGACAATCGTATACACACAGGCTAATTTCACTTATAGCTTGACTTATTCACTTTTACCAAGTTGCTGAGAAGCTAAAGAGAAGGGAAGAGATGAAAAAAATTGCTAAACAAGCTCAGTAATGCACACTTACAAATCAATTCCAGTGAACAAGTTAACATAGGTTTACAACAGAACTAGCAAACTTGCCATTTAGAGCTTTATAAGAAGTGTAAAGAGAGACCCCTTTTTTCTCTAAAGTCTGCTTATAAAGCTCTAAGCAGATTCTGTTTTAAACCCTTTGCTTCTTAAAACAAACATGAGCACTCTATGAAGCACTCAGATTTGGGTTTTTTTCCCCCCATGCTACTCAAGAGGTTTCCACAGCCGTTCCTGTGTTTCTAGATTCAGATTTGCACTTCTGTATCCAAAGCCTCAAAAAGTTTCAAACTCTACACCTACCTGATGCAACAATTATCTGAAAAACAGTATCAGCTCATTCTGTTCTACTGTTACCATGATTTGAGACTTAAGAGTATGAAGAAGCTGGTGTATTCTTCTCAGAAGTGCAGTCACCACCAAAAAACCCCAAGAAGCAGAGGAGACGGAGGTATGCACGCGTGTAAAAATGATGCTTACAAATAATAGCCTCACCACTCAAAAGAGAGACCTGAAAGTAGAAGGGAATAGGAAACCCAAAGCTTCCAAAACACTATAGGGGATGGAAATCACTCACATGTGGATTAGTCTTTCTCAAAAAAGTACATACATGAGAACAGAACCAAGCCATTAATAAACTGCATCATAGTCTAGAAATCTCAGGCGACCAGTCCTGTGTTTCTTGGAGCTGCACGAATTTAAAAAAAAAAAACCAAACAAAAAACAAACAAAAAACCCCAACCCAAAACCACAACCCAAAGAAACCCCAACCAACCCCCAAAAACCCCAACTCTGTCTAAAGGACTACACATATTACATAAAACATGCTTCTGCAATTCTTACATTGTACAGATAAATATTATGAATAAGCTACCGACTTTACAATAAGCTTACAGCCTGCAGTCATTTTACTGGAAGAACAGATAGTTCAAAGCACGGGAGGGGGTAGGGGAGACAACCAATAAACCAAACCCTGCATTGTGAGACCCCTAAAATGCTGCTTGCAGAATGTAATTGATGGAGAGCAACCTGCACACAGACAACTTAGAAGATGTAAAAAGGCCAGCAAGGGAAGAAAAGCTAGTTCTGGGACCTGATGCCACCTGGAGGGTCCTTCAAGGTCTATTTGATAACAGCAAACCAAGGAAAAAAGGTCAGCATAAAACCATCCTGCTTCCTACCAGCTGGCTATAATATAGCTAGAGAGGCAGGTGTTGTACATCTCCATTGCAGAGAAAAATTAAATGACTGTTCGCAAGTCTCAACAGGAAAAAAAGGAAAAAAAAAGGGGGGGGGGGCGACGACACAACTATGGTAAAATTGTAAATTCTGTAGCATCTTGGCAGGATAACAATATTAAGAGTTCAAATAAATTCCTGAGATACTGCCTGAACTTAATGGGACAGTTCACAACTCTTAAAATACTGCTGCAGTTCTACTACCAAGGGCATTGGCTTACACCACAGCTCACGTTTCCAAGGTTATGTCTACAACTGCTACGAATTATGCGCCTATTAAAAAGCATTTGTCAAAAGTGAATCCTAGAACAAGTTCAGCACCAAGAGAGAACTGATGACAGCATTGCCAAGGTATGGAGTAAAACTAGTTCACTTTCCTACCATTACACAGACTTGTGGGCTGAAGTGAAACTGCCAAGAAACGTACAAATTAATCTTGGGTTGGAAACCTTACACAGACTATTACACAACACTGTTTATTATTCCTAGAAAGAGTAATCCAAGAGGAGACAGGAAGATAAAGGTGGGGAAAAAGAAGATGGCCATCCTTCTTTGCAGTCAGAAAGTTAAGTAGTACAGGAAAAGACAATGCCTGTTTCTATTACCCTGCGTGGGTTCTGCAAGTCATGCTTTTCAAGAGATCCAGAATACACAGTCTGAGAAATAATTAGGTTTTCTTCACTGATGGCTGATAGGTCTTTTAGTTGTGTCTTTCCAAGTAAAGAGGATGCCTTAATCACAGTTAATTAAAAACAAACTAAATTACCAAGGCAACAGTTTGTGTATTAAGAATACTTCTGTATACTCAGAAAAGAAACAGGCAAGAAGTTGATCTTCAGAAATCTCTTGTGAAATCCGTAAAACAATATAAACAGTCATTGCATGACCTACTAGCTAGTAGGAAAACTGCATAATGCCCCATTTTCACTGCCTTTAGGCAAACTAAGCACATCATCTTCCTAGCAAAGATAACATCTGCCAGAAGAGTATGGCTAAAAAATGTGCTGAGATCACTTTCTTTTCCTTTTAATTTGAAGTAGAACATAAACAGAACTTCAATTTAGAGTCTTCCAATCCTTCAGAGGTCAGGAGGAAAAGAAAACAGTTCTGATGCATCTTCTAGACGCAATTATAAGTCCAAAACAACCTCTTATCTACCTAACATCACAATGATGCTGGAGGTTGTAAAGTAACAACGTAGACCAAGAATGATTCCCTACTGATGCATGCAAATTTACACACTGTCAACAGATACATCTGGAATGAAGTTTGCCTTACTTTTGATTACGAACTCCTATTCCTACTTAACTACACTAGAGACTTTAGAAAATGTAGTAGTCTAGATTGAAAAGAATTGGCCGAATTCATTACACAGACACAATTACGAGACAACAATTCATGACTGTTTATCCACCGACATCACACCAGCTATGGCAACCTGTATTTGACAGGAATGGGGAATACAACCCATTAGTTTTCCATTTGCCAACAACCACTTAAACATCTACACAAAAAACACTGGATTTACCTGAGAACACTGAGGTAAGAAGTTCTGTCCCAGGCCCTCCAAAATGAAAATTCACCAGCTACAATTAATTTCTACGGTCACTTTATTTAACACTAGATTGAAGTAGTGATGATCTAAACTGGGACCTTTTTCAAGCAAACATACCAGGACACCAGTATATCTGTCAGCAAAGGACTTCCAGCAAAGCTCTGCGGTTGCAGAAGCAATATTGCTCCCCTCATTTTATTTTAGGTTCTTCAGCTTTTCTTTTGGAAACAAATTGCAGTTACAGTCAATGCTGTTACAGTCAAGAGAATTCTCTCTCTTTAACCACTTTTAAATCAGACTGCAAAAAGCAAGGGAACATGCAACAAGGAATGATCATTGCAGATGCACTCAAGGCAAAGTTTAGTATATCTCTGGAAGAGGAAAGATTTTAGGAACACGGGAAAGTTTTAGGAAAATGAAGACTCAGAACACCTTAACAAGGAGTTTTATCCACTTCACCTAGAAAGCACAAACAGAATTTTTTACTTAGAAGTGAACAGGATGAGCATAGGCAATTTTTATACTTGGTACACATAAAATCTCTAATCCATTCTGCCATATCACATATAAAATAAACCCACAACAGAGAGCCCTCTTCTTGATAGGTTAATCACGCATAAACTCCCAGACAAGAATTTAATGGCTATGACTGGTGAGGGACTTAGCTTGCTGATGAAAGCTGAAGAAATACTAAAAAAGTCTCTGCTATGCCTGAAGTAACAAGTGAAGAAATAAACAGAAGTCTGTTCAAAACACTAAGTATCCCATCTTCACAGCCACATATCCCTCCACACAACAAAGCAAAATATATGTGGTAAAGGGCAAATTGTATTTACAACTGGCTTTAGAAGTCAGGACTGCTATACATAAAGTAGAATTGAACTGTACTTCCACCTGCATTGTCCAAGTTATCTGCCATGAGGTCAGAAAGGATACAATCAAGCTCCTGGATCCACAACGGTATCAATTACATCCAGTGTTTGTGGGAAGGCAATAAATGCAGTCAAAGCATCCCAGACTGGCACAAGGTGTGTACTTACGAGATCTTTGGCTCTACTAAAACTGACTACTTACCAAGAAATCCAAATTACACTCACACCTATCTATTTTTATAATTCCCATTCCTTGGGAAACTTGCAATTTCAGTACTGATTTCAGACATCTGTGCAGTATTATTTTTTTAACAACAACAAAATGAAAATAGTTAAAATGCTAACAACACTGGTACAAAAGAAAAAAAAAGTTCCTAGGATCTCATAAAGACAGTTCTTTGTGAACCAACATCCATTACAATGCACCATGTGAATTTTCAGCTTTCTAGTTTCCATCAACATGCTGTACCAAATCTAAGTGTATCACCAGACTGTTAAACTTAACAGTCATGCTTTAAATTTAACAAAAGTTACAGAAAGAGTCAAAATAATCTTTAATTACATACTGATTGTCCTCTCTGACTTCCTAATTAAGTTCTGTGGTGGTGGTCCATTCTTTTGCTCATATTTTTGCTAGAGGTAGCTAGTCCAGTGGAAAGAATCTACATAGGGTAATTCCTTTCCACTGAAAATAACCCGAGTTTTCTGGCTGAACTACGCAGATCAGCAACCACCATCACATCTAGCTTTAAGACATGTATGCCTACAGAATCTTAACATGCAAAACAGCATGGTTGTTAAAAAGTATATATGAGAGTAGCAGTAGTAAAGCATTTATCTGATCTTGATACACAACATCAGTACAGTTAGTTTTTGTAAACAATTAGGTGACATGCTAGCTGTACTTTAAAAAAATCTACAAAAATAAAGATTTTGTACTTACAGTAAATATTCGCCTGCCAGTCCGATCAAAAGTTACACAGTATACAGAAGATAAGTGTCCTAAAATTCGTTTGTGCATCTTCATGTGTTGATAGACTGCAGTTGGAACGAGGCGTTCAAGTCTGTACTTTCCATTTAGTTTTCTTGAAAACAGGGTATCCACTACCAAATGGGGAAAGAAAAAAGGAGACAGCATTTATACTGGGTTCATAAACTAAAATACTTCTCCAGGATGGAAAGTTTATTTCAACACTGGACCACCTGCCATATGAACAGCTTACTCTAGTAATTCTCTCGTTTTGCCATAGTTAGGGAAAAATACAGATAAACTAGCCTATGATACAAACGTGCAAAAAAGTACCAAACTGCAAGGCAGAACATAAAGATGCAATACAACTTTCAACTGTAAGTGCTTCTCACTTTACACCTAGTGTGAGAAATCCAGGAGGACTGAGGCAGCTACCATGGAGGAGTAAACTACTTCAAATTTAACAAGCCTAAGAGCTTCCACATAGCTATTAACTGAAGATAGCAAACATTCAATTCTTCTCTGAGGTAACCTGTTTTTTTGAGGTGTACACAATCAAATGTTTATCCACCACTTGCAAGACAATTTGGGTTTTTTAAAGAATATTGCTACCCACTACAGCTGAAGAAACAAAAAACCACCAAACAAAAATTTACATACAAATTTACCCAAAGCCTTACAGAAAATTCTGATTTTGACTAACAGAACCTTGTTCGAAGAGTTTGGCATTTTTTTTCAAGTTTAAAAGCTAAGAAGGTCCAGGAGCAGGAATCTACTTTAACAAAATGGAAATCTTCAATCAAGAACTTCAGTAAAGAAAATAAAGCTCAGTGCTACTAATTTTAAACTGTTACTCATGTAATGATAAAGCAACAGAGTATAATGCTTATATGCATGGAACAGACATTAGTCAAACAGCTGCCCATATCATCATTAGACCGAAGAATGGCAATGGCGACACATTTTATACTCCACAGAATTGTGGTAAAGCAGGTAATATATTCCAGTCTCCAGCTTCTGAATACGTGAAAAGTAAAAACATAAATGCCCAACAATGTCCACAGCACCACACACACATGAAAAACAAGATCTGTCAGTGCCAAGAGAGGTAGCTGATAGCCATTCTTCATACGTGACCAAGCCTATGCCTGTACTAGTGAACTGAGCAGGACCAGGGCATGGGTCTGGGCACTGAATCACAGTCACTCCCTAGCATCAACTGTGAAACAGCTACAACCTCTCGCATTGCTTGGTTTTGGCCCAGGCCAACCAGACACTGGTTCATGAGTCAGCACAGGTCAAACTACATTAAATATGCAAACTGGATTGTAGCTACTCTATAAGGAGCAAAAGCACTTAGTGGTATGGACAACTGCCAAGCCCACTGGCCTCAGGCCGTAAGAACAGCCCTGAAACATTTCAGTTAACTGCCTATATAGCCCAAGGATTCAAGGAAGTTTTCCTAGTTCAAGATGCTTTGTGAAGCAGGAGGATCATTAGCTGTGGAGCAAGTAACTTTTACTCAGTATGCCACTACTGCCTTAAGGCCCTACTATACCCTCTTCACCCTCCCCTTAAACAAGAAAAAGATGCAGTTGCATTTGCTTTATAACAACGCTTTTCCTTGCCAACAGTCTACTTTAGAGCAGCAGGAAACCAAGATTAGTTCAGTCACAAGACAAATCTAGTTTTGGTTTCTAACAAATCATCCTACAGTTAAAATAAAACCCAAAACCAACAACCCCACACACTCAAAAACAACCCAAATGAATACATACACACACACAGAATAAGGAAGGTCTTTGTCATGACAATGAAGTGAGCTTGCACAATAATCTCAACCTACTCAGAAGTTACCTTTCGCTTACTCTTAATCTAAGATGGAGATGGTTGTTGGAAATCAGCTTCTAGCAATGCCTTCAAATGAAGCCGTAGCTCACAAAAATGGGAAAAAGCTTAACTAGAAGTTTAATTTGCAGAGGCATTCTGTCAATAAATCGAAAGAGTAAGCAGACTCTTTATGATAAAACAACCAATGATTTCATTTAAGCACGTAATTTTTAATATACATCTGAATTTATGAAAAACTGTTTCAAGTACTTGAGATAAATTTCAAGTTTGATTTTGCTTGTGTGTTTTTTTTTTAATCACTGAAGATGACGATGTTTAACAGAACCTAAGCCAGTATTTCTGATGATATTCTCGCTGATGTGAAGTGGTAATGGGCAACTTGCTACTAGTTCACATGCCTCTGAGAAACTCAAGAGGTAAAACGCCCCTTGTTCAGTAACAATCAACCTGCTGGAGGAAATAAGAGACAACACTGTCATACTGGAAACAAGAAAGCTGGGATCTATCTCACTCTTTGGCCCTGATCAAAACTTAAAAATATAAAAAAATCCCAAAACTGGTTAAAAAGAAAGTGGATTAAAAAGTGATTTGACATGCAAAAAGAACCAGTATTATGAACTTACATTCTATGTGAAGAAAAGTTTTTACCAAGATCATGCAATTGGTGGGTGGTGAGGGGAAAGAATCAGTCTCCTGCAGGTTTGAACACTGTCCATAAACACATAATTTTTAGAAGACTTCTCAAACTGGTTTTTTGTTGTTGTTTTAAACTAAATTCTCACATTCACCATTGTTCTTCAATATGGCCTTCCATTTAACTACATTTATATTTACTCTCATTGACTTTGCCACGTGATCCAGCTTGATTTCTCTAACTGGCCTATTTACTCCAAACACTGATGACTTCCATGTGTCACCTGCACACTTTGCTAGCACAATAGCATTTATTTTTTCCCTCCAGAGTACAGGAAAAAATTAAAAATAGCTATGTCTCAAAAATAAAGTCCTGCAGCCAAACAAGAAATTTGATTTTTGTGGTGCAAGCCAAGGTGAGAAAGGCTACCAACTGTTAATAATAATGCCTTTGTACTAATTATAGGCCTTTGGTTTTCTAACGATTGTGATCCATATCTAGCATCAACGCTTGTCAGGCCTTATGTGGTCTCTAATCTATTTTAGCTTGATTTTAACTGCATTTGGAAAAAAGTTATTTTAGAAACCACTGTGACAGCAAGTCTAATATCTCTCTTGTTTTAGCCATATTGGCAGTTTTCTGTCTTTGCTTAAATTTTGCTTGGCCTCACACAAATGAGTCAGTATGAACAAAGGTGTTAATCACAGGAAGAGTGATAACGTACAAGCAGTTAAACAGCTGCAGTGGGGGCCACAAACCATACATAGTCAGGGAGGGAAGAAGGATGAGACTTTATGCCAGGAAGTGTTAGAGAGCACTGGTTGGGCCTTACAGCGAGTCAACCAACCTGAAGAGAAAAGGGGTTGGAAGGAAGAAAGAAGAAAACAACAGAACAGAGATTGCCTGCTCCTTGCTGGAAGGTCACCGTGAAGTGGACACTGCACAGAAAGAACTCCCATCCAATGCCTGGCCAACTAAGGAAATTAAGATTAACTTAGCTTTACATGCCTGTCTACTACTCACACATTAAGATCCTGCTTTAAAAATAAGTAAATATATGAAATTTAAAACAAACCAAAAAAGCAGATGTCACTAAGCTGTTGTTGTGCAACACAGGATGACAATCCACCACTTACTTGCAAATGACATTTTGATTTCAAAATCAGGATTCTTCATATTTAATAATGAAGCTAACTGATCAGTAGAAACCAACGCCTGAGAAAGCCACGTATTTTGTTGATGTTTTGAACATGTGAAAGACACTTTGCCACAAATTTTATCATTTAAGTTGCTATCAATTGTTTACCAATTGGTTCCAAATAAAATGAATCGGTTTCTAGTTTTTAGGTAACTGGGCTCATCCTCACACAACAAAACCAGCCTCAAAGACTGAAATGGTCTGCTATCACAGAACCATGGAATGGTTGAGGTGGGAAGGAACCTCTAGGGATCGCCTAGTCCAACCCCCCCTGCTCAAGCAGGTTCAGCTAGAGCAGGCTGCCCAGAACCGTGTCCAGTCAGGTTTTGAATATCTCCAAGGACGGAGACTTCACTACCTCTCTGGGCAACCTCTGCCACAGCTTTGATCACTCCCAAAAGGCGTTTTCTTATTTTCTTAACTCTATTTCAGTTTGTGTCCATCGCGTCTGTCCTGTTAAGAGGCACCAATGAGAAGAGTCTGGCTCCATCTTCATCACACCCTCCCATTCAGGTATTCATACTCCATCGATACACACCCCCCACACACACACACACTTTCTCCTTTATCGTAGATCAATGCCAACTACTCTCAACCACATTGTCTTTATTATGTTGGCCTCCAGGAGTATTTTCTTCATCACTTGCCCAAGGATTGAGGCAAGGACCACCCATCTTTAGTTCCGCAGACTCTCCTTCTTGCCCTACTTCAGGACACAAGTGACCTTTGTTCTCTTTGAGTTCCCTCAGGAAGCTCCCCTGACCACCATGAACATTTCAAAGATAATCAGGAGTGGCCTTGCAAGGACATCAGCCAGCACCCTCAGCAGCCAAGGGTGCATCCTATCAGGGCCCATGGACTTACATGCGTAGTTTGTTCAAACATTCCCTAACCTGATTCTCCTCCACCAAGGGAAAGTCTTCCTTGCTCCAGACCTTCCCCCTGGTCTCCAGGACCTGAAATTTGTGAAGGCTGGTATTATCAGTGAAGACCCAGGCCAAGAGGGCATTGAATACCTCAGCTTTTCCAGGTCTTTTGTCACCAGGTCCCCTGCCCCACTCAGCAGCAGGCTCTACTGTTCCTTCTGCTGCTGACAGACCTGTAAAAGCCCTTCTTGTGTTCCTTCATGTCCCTCATCAGATTTAATGCTGGAAGAATTTTGACTTCTGTTACTGCAGAATCACAAGATAGTTGAAGTTGGAAGGGACTGAAAATCATCTAGTCTAACCCTCCTTTGAAAGCAAGGTCAAATACAAGTTGCTCAGGACCTTTTACTAGAGTAAAAAAAAAGCAGAGGGAAAGTGTGAGGAGAGCACAGAGGGAAGAGAGAAAAAAGAAAAAGAAGTATGTGGGGTAGGGTGAGAAACATGGGATTCTTTATGCAAAGGCTCTAACCTTAAGCTCTAAAGGTAAGAGTTTAAATTCATTTTTTATAAGGGCCACTCAGGAAC